AATAAGAAGCAAATTTTAAGAGTTATTTCTGCGCGAAAAAAATAAAAAGCATATAATAATTATTATTTTTGATGAATATAATAAAAATCAAATTTAATTATTATTTTTTGAGTTTTATTTTAAAAAGCTCATATATAAAAAGCATGCATAATATTAAGGATAAAAGTTATTAGAATGATAACTATTTACTTAAATAAGAGTTTAGACAACTTTTTGTTGCTGCTTTTTTTCATAAAAAATTTTAAAATAACTGTTATTTTCGGTCCCTGTTTCCAACTATATTTAATTTGCGAAATTTGTTGAAGTTCGTTAAACTATTTGCCAGTTTTAATTGTTCACATTTATTTTTTCAAAAAATCATAACTTTATTTAATAGAGTAGTAAATTTTACAAACTTATTCCGAGTAATAAATATTTTTGTAGAGATATTTTTCCGTATACCGATTAATTAAATAAAATGACCAAAGCATTTTAGTTATGTTTTAAGACTGTTTATTTTAATAATTATCTTTACAGTTAGGTATAGTTAGGTATTCGTGGAGGAACAGTGTGCATTAGCATATCGTGAGAATTTGCTGAATTGGCGTCTTCACACGCCAGCGCAAACACTATCGTCAAACGGACGGTAGGGGCTCATATTGCAAAAATGCAATAAAGGTATAACTATAACTAGTTAGGTATAACTAGTTTCTTTCAATGATCGCTAAAGACTGAGTCTTTAGATTTTTATTCTTAGTTAATGTTATTTTTAATAAAAAGATATATTTCATTTATTTCACAATAAAACACTCACCCGAAATAAACAGCATCGGAATTATCTGTAAAATATAAAACCTATTAAAATATATTTAGCCACAAATCGTACGGACATTACCTACGATCCTCGGTTCCAACGAGCCGCGGGCATCGATATACGAACTACACAAACCTAAAGGAAAAAAAGCAATGAATAAAAAGTGAATTTTATAAATGAATTTTGAATTTTATTTTTATATTATAATTGAAACATACATTGAACATATATTAAACAATAAGCAACACATTTATTTAATAGAACATAGAACATTTATTTAATAAACATGGATAATAGAAAAAACAAATATATAGAATCAACCAACAACTAAAGCACTCACTGGTTACGTTTTTTTACAATAAACAAAAACGTATCACAAGCAATACTTCTTCTGATTTTTTTTTTGGTTTTTTTAAAATCTTCGCTTAAGTCTGTCAACTTTGGCTCCAATCTCGTCATAAGTGCCTTTGCCGATACGGAAGTCGTATTTAAGGCTTCGCTCGAGTGGTTTGATATAATGTCCATAAGCCAGGTTAAATGTTGGGTGCCTAGCTTGTATAAGTCTTGGAGCTTTGTACTTGCTTGTTGACAGCTTTTCAAGGTTTGTGAAAGGAGTAATGCCACTCGAGATTTTTCATCCATTTCGTATTTTCTCGAGAACTCTGCTATAAAATCCTCGTTTACTAGAGCTGTCCATACTGTTGATATACTCCTCATAACTCCAAGGAGTGAGTTTGCGCTTGAGCTTGCGTAATATTTTTTTTTTTATAATATTAAGTGCATTAAGTACATGCTTTTTATTGCACTATCTTAAAAACTAACTTAAAAGCTAACAATATATTCTGATCGAAAACTATTTAATTTAATAGTTTTTTCAGTTCTTTGATTTTATATAAAGATAGTAAAATCCAAATGCACCTTTTTTGTTGAGAGGTTCACGTACCACTGATTTATTATTAAAACATATTATTAATAATAGCAAAAACAAAACAAATGGAAAGCTGCGGCTATTAAGAGCTTTTTTTTGGTTGTAAATAAATGTTAAATAATTGAAATTAAAATAAGTATAAGAGTACCCAATTGACTTAACATATTCATTCAAGTATAATTTATTTAGAAAATTACAAATATTAGAACATACAATAAAATTGAGTTAAAATATAAGTGTGCTATAACTTCAAATTGGATATTATTATATAATGATAAGGAAGTATAGAAATTAAATTAAAATTAACATTTAAATTACATGCATTTCGGGTGGAACTTGGTAAAGCGTTCCATAATCGGATTGAATGAATAAAGAAAAACCTAGTGGTAGCAACAACATTAAATCTTGGAATTATGAAAAGAAGAGATCTGTTGGAACGCATAGGCTGCAAGCAATTATAAAGGTACTCAGGATATTTAGTAGTTTTCAATTTAAACAGAAATAGGCAGATTCGAATATTTAAATACTGCTCAATGTCACAACCCAGTATAGCGTTTCTATAAACTGTTAGATGATCAAAACGTTTAAGGCCGTAGACGTATCTAGTACTGCAGTTTACTACAGTTCTCAGTTTAGCAAGGGACTCGCAGTCAAGTTTACAGTACACCAACGCGGCATAAGTAATTATAGGCAATATTAGTTGTTTGACCAATAAGCCACGGACATGGACAGGGGTATACTTAGCAGATAAATTCAAATATCTGAGGCAAATAAATGATTTCCTAACGACATGATTGATATGATCAGAGGCATGTAACTTTGAATTCAAATTAAATCCTAGACATTTAACTGATGCACTATATTTAATAATTGAGTTTCCAATAACTACCGATGGTAATTCGTCTAAGTTTAATTCAAACCTTTCCACGCTTTTGTGTTCGCATGAGCAGCATCAAAACATTCAAGTTTAAATTTAAAATTGATGTTCTGCATATTGCAATTTGTTTATAACTCTTAAATATGCGTAAAGTTTGTAAAGTTTCTTATAACATAAAACTTCTACTTCACCTCACCTATCGTTGCAAAATTCAATATTGTTTTCCATAAATTTCACAAGTACAAGCTTTTGCTGCTCACTTGCTTTTTTGCCTTTTGCCATATCTAAAACATATAAAGAAATAATAATACAAATTTATATATAATCGTTGCTTGCTTACTTGCTTCTGCTTTTTAATAAGTCACCGCGAAATACACGGTGATTAAAATTTGACAAAAGTGTACACTTTTTGACAGATTAGCTCACTATTCACAATTGAGAAATAACAAAATCAAAATGTCAACAAAATTTTGCGTACACTTGAGGAATTGACCCCCAGACACTGACAATAACTCAGTGTTTGGTTAGGCCCGACAATGAAGAAAAGATGAAATGTTATTTCATATTATTTGTTTAGTTACAATTATATATAATATGTAACTGCTCTACACTTTATTCAAAGACTCTCCTGAGTCTTTCGATTTGTCATTTTATATTTTTTATATAATTTGTTGATATCAAGGGACTGGAGTTCGTGATTTACATTACTCTTACTTTCAAGACTATTATTGTTTACAACTATTTTTAGTTGTTTATTTTCCATAATTAATTTTAAAATAATTATTATGGCGATTGCAATTATAGCTATTGAACTTGCTGATACATATTTTTTATTAAAAAAGCTATATTTTTAAGTAAATTGTCTTATAAACAAACTGAACAATTAATGTCCAATCTAATTATATTTGTGTTATATCAACAGTATGCAACCTCTAGATAACAGTATTCTTTTTGTCCTCTATATAAATTCTATGAACTGATATTAGAGCCGGTCCATTAACATTAGGATTAATCAGCAATTCCTGAATACAAAGAAGTATTTATTTAACAGTTACTGATGGACTCCATTCTAGGCGAACTGATAGGCAAACCGATCCAAAAGAGGATATACATTAGGGTGAAAAATCGTGCGAGTTATATTTTAAAAAGTTCAACAAACTAGACGCATTTTATGATAAGACTTCTGTAGTTGACATCAATTTTTTCTAGCAATATTCTTTTTAAATAATCTCTCTACATTTTTAGGATGATAAATATCTAGAATTCACGTGTAGCTATAAAAAGTAGTTTTCGCAATATAATTAAAAAAATATTTTTCTTACCGCACAAAAATAGTGCTGTACGAAATACCTTAAAACTTAGTTATTCCCAGCAGCGCCTGCGACTAGTTTTGAACTAGTGAATTCACTACTATTAGTAGTTTCATCAATGACCGCCATTATGATGGAGCCCTTCAGCGTGTCGCTAAAGGACTTAGTAGTGGTGGCGTTGCCACGAAATTTTGCCTTTTTGGCATCTGGCTTCGAAGCTGACTCATCTAATGAGCGCTGGCGCTTCGGTACAGGTTCCTTTTTGACTTTCTTAGAAGTATCAAGGACCCGTTTGGCCCAGGCTAATCTAGCCTTAAGAGACTCGGACGTAAATGAGACGTTGCCATATCTCTCGAGCAGCCTAGTCGCCGCTTGCCGTTCTTTATAAATTCTCCTGGATGGAGAGCCCGACCATGCAGAGGGGCCAGAACGCGTGGAGATTTCTGGTTTGTTAGGAGGTACCCTGTTATTACCGCTAGAAGTTGCGGTAGGTACCTTGGAACTAGTCGTTCCAGAAGAGCTTGGTTTAACCGAGCTTGATTTTTTTAAATTTTTATTATTTTGGTTCATATTTTAAACCCACGAGTTGCGGAGAAAGGAAAGTCGATATCTGGAGGGCGCCAGATATCCGGAGGTCTCCGTTTAGAGACACACTAACGTAGTGCCATTCATCTCATCGGCACGGGTCGAATAACACCGGAGATTACGGGTTTTATCGAGTTTTCCTCTCTAGATCCATAGTGTTCTGTTGAATCAATGAAGTTATCAACTACAAACAGGTTCACCTCGAGAAGGGTGTGATAAAGTACCACGCACCATGGTCTTGGTAAGGCATAGGCTGATGTTTTGCGCATGACCATACCCTGTTCATTGAGAACACGAACCCTAATGTAATTAAAAATAAATAATTCAATAATTCAACTTTATAAATAATTTAATAATTTCATAACTTAATAATAATTCATTTGAAAAGTATAAAAGTAAAAGTAATAATAACAATGTTAAAAGTAAAAATAAAGTAAAATGATGTAAATTATAAAAATTTATTCATATTAATAATATTAATATTAAAAGTTTAAGTAATATAAATTGTTATTTTTGGGGATTACTAAGGGGATTACGCTGTAGTTTTGAAGCTGCTTTAAAGTGCCTCTTCTTTTGAAGCTGTATGGCCTTTCTTAGCTGGTCTTCACAACTAGGCGATCCTGTACTGTTTGGGATAGCATCTGAAAATGATTATTTAGCCATATAATTAGATATTTTTCTAATAAAACTTATTTACCTAAAAGCACAGAATATAAATTATCATAATCCTTAAGTCGTTTTTTCCCGTAGGTGCCATCCACATTGTACTCTAGAACGACCGATTCATCCAATATATTTTTCAAATTCTTCTCTACAGAAGAATTCAATAATATAGAAATTGTTGGCACCTGTTTATTTAAAGAAATATTTATTGTTTTAATTAATGAAGTACTCGTATGTAGTACAAACAAACACAATAACACTCACATATTGATCCCTTACTTCAACTTTTATATTACTGTTGACTTCCTTTAATGCATCCTCACTCTTTATTGGGAATAGCGACTTTAATGAAGCGATTGATGTCTGTTGCTTCAAGAATGACTTCATTAAAGCCTTATTCTCAGCCATTAATTCAACAATAATTTTATTTTGATCTATAAAAGTAACAAATAAAGGTAATTAAAAATTTAATTAATTTTAAGTTAAATTACTTTCTATCTGATTATGTTGTTGTTTAATCAGATCTTCTAACGATTTGTGATTTTCGCTTATAGTATTTTCAAGCGATTGAATTTTCTTCTCCATCTCTCTTAACCGATGATCGGTAGATGATGTTGCAAGCTTGTCTTTAATGAAAAAAAAAAAAAACAATTTATGCGCTATTGTTATATTAACTGAATTTGTTACTTACATGGAGTTTGAACACATTCAAGTTATGAACTCTTGCGGTTATAATTTCAAAAAAAATAACAAATTGATTGCTGTTTTCAAACTGAATCTTTATTTAATTTTCACTTAAAAGGTAACTTTAATTTTAACTAAAAATGTGCCTAATTGACAATTAATTAGTAATTAATTAAATAATAAATAATAAGCAAAATTATCGATCGCAATAAAATATTGCTGATTACATATTTTAATATTGATAATTACATTTATTGATTTTAATATTGCTGATTAATTTCATTCATCGAAATAATGCTGATTACATATTTTAATATTGATAATTACATTTATTGATTTTAATATTGCTGATTGAATTTGTTCAACTAAATAATGCTGATTACATATTATTACGTTGGTTACTGCTGTGTTAACTTTCGTTTGTGTACATCGCAGCGCGTTTTAAATTCTTTTCCAATTCCATAATTATAGTGTCCTATTATTTATTAAATTAATTCTATATTATTATATATATAATATTTTAAAATTATTTGCAACAATGTAGCAGGGGTAGCAGTAAAAGAGATGTTTCATCGAAAGTAAGACCAACATATTTAAAATCAATATCTGCTAACATTAATTGATATTCTTCAGTCTCAGGTTCATAGTCCACCAAGCATATTCCTAATGCGGTTGACTCGATGGGTTCCTCATACATGTTTCTGATATTAGAAAACTTCCTACATATAACAAAGTTCTCACCAGTTCGTAGAAACCTTTCTATTCTAACGGGAATGGAATTCTTAAGACAGCAAGAATGGACAGTTTGATTCCATTTTCTTTCGATTCATCAAAATATATATCCTCCCTTATTTTATTACTAATTTGCTGCAGAATTTGAGTTGGTTTTCTTACATATTTTTTTTTGATTTCTGCAAAAAGTTTTCAAATGCGTACGATGAGTTGTTCGATGGGACACCCAACACTTCTACACTTTCTTTAATATGAAGTAAGTTATGTACATTGTTTGAGACACTATTTTCACCAAACAAAATTGAAAAATTTTCAACGAATAATTTCATCATATTCTGCGCAATCCCCAGATTTTTAGAGTAATGCTTTGGGCAGCACATCAACCTGTATGCGCAATGGAGCAGCAAAAATTCGTAGAATAAGTCATCTTATTTTTTAAAACGCAAATGCCAGTATATAACGGAAACTCTCTGAACTCAGTTGCTTTCCAGTTTGCAATTTCATCAAGGGATCTTGGCTTACGAACAAAGTCTTTAGGGATACACTTGTTTAGAGAAATTAATTTCTCTGATATTGCATTTTTAAATTGGCACCTCATTTTTAATTCCACTTTGTTATTAATAATGCGAACAAGAAACTTTCGCATTACTCCTAAATCTATTAAATGCATACAATCTAAAGGTTGTTGTGATATCATTTTAATATTAAGTTTTTCAAGTGGAGACTCTTTGTTCAAATAACTTTCGACGTGATGTTCTGGAAATTTTCTAAGGGAAAAGTCTTCATCAGATATTATATTTCCACGCGATTTAACTCATCCCCACGTACCAGTCATTTCACTAGTTCCTTTGGACTACTTCGTGTACTATTGCCTAGCGACAATTGTCTCCTAAGGAACTGCTGGGTTTTGATTAAGATAGATTTTATTCACACATATAATTTTTACACATACAAAATTTCTTATACATTATTCTTCGGAATCAGACAATATGCGAAATTTGTTTTGGTAAGCTGGTTCAAAATAGCTTTCGTCACTCGTAGATATTACCTCGCACTCCTTTAAATTTGGATTTTTTTGAGTTACCGTGTAGTTGGTGATTAGTTTCAGCGACCACTGTTTTTTTCACTAGACACCGAGATGTATATTCTCGGTAACCAGATACACAAGACTAAAGCCTTTTTTGAAATTCTGAAGTTCTTTTAGAATTAAAATCGTTCTCAAGAAAATGACTTTCTAATTTATGACAAAGTTTGAGTCCTGCATAGATTTTAACTGATGTAATTGTTTCGGGTTCTCCTTGCTGATCAGTAATATCCGTTACATAATTTATGCTAGTTAAGTGTAATGGTAAAGTGCCATTATACAGGGTATATGATAGAGGATATTACCTTTCATCATGAAAAACTCACAAAAAAAAATTTTATGACTGGCCTGTTGACAAAATCTATAGAATTTTTCACACGACAGTAATTGGTTTAAGAAAAAATTTTATATATTCTATGTACTTTTTCTGAAATTTTATAAAAAATACGGTATGAACTTTTATGAAATATTTTCGTAAAATGTCGTGTACAGATTTGGTTCAATGTGATAACCTTCATTGATACCAGTCTGGCTAAGATGTATTTTATTTCATTAATAGATGGATGAGTGTTGAGACCTGACATGTACATTATTCTAAAAAAATGTATTTCCTAAAGTGTTTTGGTTTGGTTTTCCAGGTGAGAAATTTTCGGATAATTATAGTATGGAATTAAGAGTATAAACTAAACCATCAAAACATTTATAATGATTATTTTTAACAGGGAGAACAGTTGTAAGGAAATTGACATATCTTTGATATCGATCACGCTTTCCATCATCTTTTCTAAAAAATGGACGTTTATGGACATTATTTATTTATATAATATTAAATATATATTTCATAATATATATCTAATGTACTTTTGTTTTAAATTATTAAATAAAAAATACTTTATTATTTTTAAATAATAAAGTTTTAATTAAATTGTTAATTAAAAATACACTTGGAACTACGCGAAGTAAACAAACGAAACCCCGGCGAAATCAAAAAAAAAAGCATGCAAACATGAAAATACACAAGAAGTACAAAATATAACACGAATAGTTCAACTTTTACGGCGAAGTTCTTTTGTTCTCCACACACCGTACGTGTATCGTCACATTACAAATTTCTTTTATTAAATAATATTCCTTTATTAATTTATTAGATTTAATAAATTTATTAAAAACTCAAAAAATTTACGAAATTGATGCGCACCGAAAATCTAAACGCTCCGCACTTAAATACAAATTAATAATTTCTAATGCGTGTAATGTTTTTTAAAAATATTTTATTTTATTTAATTAAATATACAGTGGCTCACAGCTTATTTGATGCAAGCAAAAATTTTTTGAAAAATGTTGTTTATTTCAAAATATTTTGCAAAATTAAAAAAACAAAGTATGCAGAGTTATTGTTTATAGTGTGTTTATTCATTTAAAAAAGAAAAAACCCAAAAATCTTCTTCCATTCCTTAGTAATGCATCAAAAACCAAAACCAAATGAAAAATTCATGTCACAGCTTAAATGATGCAACATCAAAAAAACTAATATTTTTACAAACTTCCGGACTAATTCTAAGTACTTAGTACTTTGTTGGATATCCCTTATTAGTAATAACAGCATGAAGCCTTTTTGGCATGGAATCAACCAGTTTTTTGGTATAATCTGGACTAATTTTACTCCACTCTTGCTGTAAAGCGTTTCTTAAGTCAAATTTGTTGGGGATGTCATGTTTTCTGATATTTGTCTTCAAAACGGACCACAAATTTTCAATAACGTTCAAGTCTGGTGATTGTGCAGGAGTTTGGACAATGTGTGGACATTGCCATATCAACCACGTTTGTACTAATGCTGACTTGTGCTTAGGGTCGTTGTCTTGGTAAAAGCGAAAATCATCTGCAATCTGCAATTTCGTTGCACTTTGAATCAAATTTTCTTGAAGAAGCTTTAAATAAATATTTTTATTCATAGATTCTTCGATGAAGACCAAATTTCCTACTCCATTTGATGACATACATGCCCAAACCATAACATTACCACCTCTGTGTTTTACGGTAGCACGTAAATTTTGTGGTTTGAGCTCAGAATTGACTTCGCGCCATACATAAGATCTTCCATCTGATCCAAATAAGTTTATTTTGACTTCGTCTGCAAAAAGTACATTTCGCCAAAATGCTGGACTCTTATTTAAATGCTCTCGTGCAAACTGCAACCTTTTAATTCTATTTTTTGCACTTACGAAAGGTTTCTTTACAGCTATTCTTCCATTGAAATTTGATTCTCTCAATATTCTGCGGACGGTTTCAGGATGACAAATTTTTCCAAAATCTATTTTGGCCATGTCTGTCAACTTTGGAGCACTAATTGTTGGATTTTTTCGAATTTGGTTTACCAAATACCTCGATTCTTTTTCTGTAAAAATTTTATTGGGAGCCTTTCGTCCCTTATTTTCTATGCGATTTTCATGTACGAAGCGTTCAATTATGTGTTGAACTGTTGAAGAGCTTATATTTACCATTTCACCAATTTTACGCTGGGGAATTCCCTTTTTAAAGTACTCCAACACTAACTCACGCTTTTCAATTGATGTGCGCCGTCCCATGGTTAACAAAATGCACTCACTTTAATTTTTATATTATTTTCGCTCAAAAACTAGATTACAAATGATCGCAGAATAAAAATATTTTAATTTCTGTGTAATCTGGCGACAAAAATAACGGTATTCTTAACTGCATCATTTAAGCTGTGACATGAATTTTTCATTTGGTTTTGGTTTTTGATGCATTACTAAGGAATGGAAAAAGATTTTTGGGTTTTTTCTTTTTTAAATGAATAAACACACTATAAACAATAACTCTGCATACTTTGTTTTTTTAATTTTGCAAAATATTTTGAAATAAACAACATTTTTCAAAAAATTTTTGCTTGCATCAAATAAGCTGTGAGCCACTGTATATATATGACATGTTACAAAATTAATTATTCCGAAAAGGTCGATTTCGAGACTTAACGTGTTGAATGCTTGGAATAGACTGACTCTTAAAGTTTTTATCTTCAATAACTGAAGTTATTATTGAAATTATTAAATTGGATTTTATCCAATTAGATTTAGGCTTCTAAAATTCCTAAGAATTTTCTAGAAGCGTCTTTTCTCCATCCTATAGGATTGGAGCTTCTATTTTCTAAAGCGCCTCGTAAGCGTCTTTAGCTTTGGCGTCAGTAGCCAGATGACGAGATTAATATCCAATAATATATGAACATCTCTTCAATCAAATATTTGAAATGATATTGATATCTTTTCTGCAAGATAATTGCATCTTGAAAAGAAAACAATTTTATTATCTTTTGCAACATTGTGTGTTGCAATATAAAGTGTAGGCGTTGAAGCAATGCACATAGGCGTTTTCAAATATTTTGATAATAAAACGCACAAGGCGTTTGCAGATATTTTAATGCGCAATAACTGAGTGCGCAAATTAATTTTATTTTTACTCTAGCGAGTTTTTTAAAAAAGTCGACTTTATTATTTCATCGTTTCTTAAAAACTAAAGATACAGTTTAGAATTTTCTTATCCTAAGCCAATTGTATATATTAATTTGAAGTACTTAGCTACAATACAGTTTGTAGCTTAACAAAACTACATATTATTGTTTATAATAAAAACTAAAATTTATGGAGCTAAGCAATTTTTATATGAACTGATCTTGAGCCTTAAATTCTGGATGCAGCTGTGTAAACAAAGAATATGCTGTGTCAGCTATGTATTAATTGTAACGGGATTTTTAGATAAATAAATATTGTGTAGTGTGTATTTGAGGTACTTAACTCTCATTCTTAAGATACAAAATTTGTATGAAAAGGCAAAGTGCCGTTATATGAATGCAGGGTATTAACTTG